ACTCATTGTGTGTTTCATTGTTCTAGTAATAGTATTAGTAACTTCCTAAACTATACTTATTATAGTTTACTAGTAATGTTGTTTGTATGTATGAACATGTTTGTATACCTTTGCTACCCAAAGGTATTGAATTGAAAGAAGGAACTTTTATATCTGTATACATATACATAATATATAACTAGGATTCAAACGACCTTCAGACAAACAACCGATACCCTAAGTCCACAAACAAACAAGGAACAAGAGGTAAGGTGAGCTATCAGTCCTAAGTCCTTTCAATCCTACTTATATAACTATATCTATATAGATACACATTTAACAAAGTATAAGTTTAAAAGAGTTTAATAAAAGTATTTAACATGTAAATGAGTTTGCAAAACAGTTTGAAGTAGTTTGTTTGATAACACAGCTAATTGAATAGCAAAACCTTTGTTTGATAATTATTAATCACATGTGATTGATATAATAACTATAATGTTTCAACTTGTATTCCCCCCCATAAAAGCATTTAAAATCATTTAAAAGGTTGATTAAGGGGTATGAACTCACCTGTAGTGAGTGGTTTGGATGAACGGATGGTATAGGATGCTAAGTGTCAAGTGAAGACTTGAACACACACACGGATCCTATTTAACATATAATGACACATATATATACCTAATTAGTTATTTAACAACTAATTAATCAAGTAAAGACACCCTAGATCATGGTAAACACTTTGATTCAAGTGCTATAAGTACCAAAGGGTTGCATCTAAAGGGAGTATGGCCTCACATTAGAGTTTACTGCCCACATGGTAACACCATGTGAGTTTAAGGCCAATGGTCATTTCCCCCATGAGTTTACGGTCGTAAACTCATGGTAATTAGTACCATTTTGTGTTTTAAGGTCTTACAAGTCAAGGTTAAGTATCCTATGATCAAGTCCAAGCCTTAGGAAGTAATAATGGCACAATTGCACCACCTTTTAGAGTTTACGGCCCATGGTCAATTCCCCATGAGTTTACGGCCGTAAACTCATGTGTGCTTGATTCTTTTGTTTGTTTAAGGTCCTATACTCCTCAAGGAAGTGATCTAGACTTGTATCCAAGGCTTAGGAAGGGACTAGGGCTCATAATTGCCCTTTTATTAGAGTTTACGGCCCAAGGAGATTGCCTTGGCTGTAAACACTTATGATCTTGTGTTTCTTGTTGTTTTCTAGTTGTTTAACAAGTGTATCAAGCCTATAACGAGCTAAGGTAAGAGTACTTACAGTATAGAATCTTGTAAGGGTGTTCACGGCTCAAGAACACTAGTGTGTGTTCTTGGTGAAATGAAGAAGACTTGAAGATATAAGAAAATGGAATGATTTCATGGATGAAATCATGTAAGATCACTAGATGATGAAGGATATCAAGTAATGAAGGCAAGAAACACTTACTTTCTTGAAGATCTTGAAGAAAAATCGGATGATACTTGAGAGAGAATGAGTTCTTGGCTTGAAAATGGTAAAAAAATGAATAAAATGACTAAGTGTCATATTTATACTCCTTAGAGTTTACGGCCGTAAACTCCATGTTTGGGCCGTAAACTCCAAACTCTTGGAGTTTTGGGACTTAAATGTTGCACAATTTACTCTAAAGTATACTTCCTATAATTACCTCTTGAAGTACTAGACTTTAAAACACTCAAACTGACTCAAAACAGCTTAAAAGTTGGCAGAAACAAATCTGACTTCTATTGAAGTGATTGGTTGTACAAGATAGAAATTTCGAGTTGTCACAGTTCTTGGGCCGTGAACCATTCTTAGGGCCGTGAACTCTTCATGGGGCCGTGAACCCATCAAGCTAGCCGTGAACCCCTTTTCAGCCTTCCATTTTCGATTCTAGCACTTCTTGTGTAAGTATTCCTTACACCATAGATTGTTTCCTTTACACTTTTGAGGCTAGATTCACTAAATGTGTATATATATATATATATATATATATATATTATAGATATATATATATATATATGTCTTAATATGATAAATAGGACTCGTTTGTGCTTCGGGACTTCACTTGTGAAACTTATCATCCTATATCGAATCTTCAATCGAATCCCCAACATAGGTGAGTTCATACCCCTATAATCTACCTTTTATATGGTTTTAAATGCTTTTAAAGGGGGGGGGGGAATACAAGTTGAACACAATCAAATTTTGTTTATATTTACCTGTGATAACAATCACACAAGAGGTTTTCTTATGCTTTTAAATATTGTGTTAATAATAAAAGATTACTAAATACTTCCAAAATGACTTAAAGTCATGTAAACTCTTTAAAGACATGTAAACTCGTCTTAAACACTGTTAAACTCTTTTAAAATGTTTTATAAACTCTTTAAACTTATATTTGTCAAAATCATGTTCATATATGTATAGGTTTATAAATAAGACTTAAACGGCTTAGGACTAATGAGTTGCCTTATTTCCTTTTCCTTGTTTGGATGTGGACTTAAGGTGGAGTTATTTGTCCGAATGTCGTTTCCTTCTTAATTATATATATTATACATATAGGAATATAAAAGGTTACCTCAGTCGGTATCATTACCTTTGTATCACGCTGAGCAAATGTCACACCCCCAAACCAGAACGATGAAAACGTTCGGGGTGGATGACGTCATGCGTAGTATCACAACAATTGTATCATAGCAATCATAGTAAACACAAAACAAACATTGAATACATATATGAAAAAGGTTTACATCTGTTTGAAACATTGTTTGTGTACATCCAAAAGTATAATCAAAATAGAAAGACGTGACTCTATACGCTCCGTCTTCTCAAAACTCCAGGAGGTACCTGTCTACTGATTCCCTGAGAATACAAGCAATTTGAAAGAGTATCAACATAAAGCTGGTGAGTTCACAAACGATGTTTTTTGTAATGAAAACCTTTTGATGATTCTGTAAAAATGTTCTTATGTTTCCAAGAAAATCCAATATTTTCTTTAGTAAAAGTGAAATAATATCAGTTCCATCTATAACCACTTAGTTCATGCTAGTCACGTATTAACCAATATTGAACAGACAGATGACTATGTGGATCTGCCCTAAGTCCACAACCAAACAAGGAACAAGAAATGAGGCGGAAACCACACATTCCACAGTCTATCGAATATGTTCCATACGTAACCCTGATGCCTAAACTAAGGAATTATAGAATTAACTATAAATGTTTGTTACTGTATCCTGTTGTAGTATAGAAAAACGTTAGTTTGTATTCTAGTTACTATCAACCGTAGTATGTGTGTTCTTGTACAAAAACCTTTGTATTGTATGTTTTGTATGAAAGCCTTGGTTATCACTAGTGTGAATAAAATGTTCTGTTTGAAACCTCGGTTATTACCAGTATGTATAGTAGTTTTATTTCTCATAAAGAAACCATGTAAAGTATATTACTACGTAAATATATCGTTGTTATCTACTTGCAAGTTTTATGACCATACTAAACTTGATATGGTGCGAATCGGGCACCAGTATCCTTTATGCACTACTAGAAAAAAATAGCCTTTTACGACGCACAATGCGTGTCGTAAAACGCTCAGACGACGCGCAAATACGTGTCAAGGAAGGCCCTATCATAACGAGAGATGACACACTTTTGCGCGTCGTCTATTTACGACGCGCATTTATGACACACATTTACGACGCGCAGTTATGACACGTAATGCGTATCAAGGAAGGCCCTGTCATAAAGGAAGACTACACGCATTTGCGTGTCGTAACCTTACGACACGCAATGCGTATCAAGGAAGCCCCTGTCATAAATGAAGATGACACGCATTTGCGTGTCATAAACTTTAGTAACCATTTACGATATGCATTTACAACGCGTCTTTACGATACTCATTTACGCATAATACAAAAATATGTAAACAAATATATACCAAAACAATCAATTTCATCAAATAACATCATTTCAAAAAATTGTAATACATTGATATTAAGGGGATCTAATTGTACATTGTTGTTAAGAGGTTTTTCCCTAACTATATAACCTAATACTACATTGCGTATCAAGGGACACCTTCTGCAAAGTAATGCTATACAAACTAAAAAGATATACACAAAGATGATAAACATCAAATGCCAACTAAGTAGAGTTGCATCTTGCCTTTCATAATTCTTTAAGACTAATGAACCCCCTGCTCCAATAATTCTTGTGACCTGATCAAATAAAAGTCAAAAAATTAATATGGAACCCACAGACCAAAGTCAATAAATCATTATATTCAAGAAAGATCTTCAACAAAGGAAGGTTGTTCACGTGCATATCATTAAACTTTTTTGGTAGCCTTTTATAATGTAAAATTTAAAAGCAATCAACTTTTATACTTATGATACAAACCTATAAAAGATTACAGCCAGCCGTATTATCTATGTCATTGTTATTAAAAGATAAGTTTGATATTGAGCATACAATGAAGGCTATAGCCATGTCTTTTGCACAGACAATAATTTTTGTTCTATTGACACTGCTATGTATCCCAGTCTCAATCGACTACACACAACACACGGTACAATCTGTTTTGTTGTGTCTTATGTCATCCTTACTTTCAAGGCACTGGATTATAAATCCGACAACTTTTAGACCAACTATGACTATGATAGAGATAGAGAACTTACTAACTATTTAAAGCAATCACAATCGATTTGAGATGGGATGCAACTTTCAACACATAACCCAATTATACATATAAAATCACATGAAAAAAAGAACACATAATTCAAACCCTGTGTTTGAAGAAAATATTCAACTTTCAAGTGATTCAACAAAACATATGCTACTACTGGTTAGATTAATAATATAACATTATAACCTGAACATGAACGTGAAGATGAAGATGAAGATGATTCTTCTTAGTCTTTGTTGGCAACATGTAAATCCTCCAAATTTTATGCTACTACTTCAAAAGGTGAAGGTGAAGAGTGCTTGCTTGGGCCATTTAAAGCAGCTGTGGGTGTGGGTGGCTGTGTCTGCTATATTCTTACGGTTCCATCTTCTGAGTCGGATACGTATGATTCACCTCCCTGTGAGAACCGTATAGAATGGACTGGACCATGGTGACCTTTGTAGATTGCTACAAACACACAAAATAAATAAATAAATAAATAACAATGTACTCTAATTAATCTTAACCTTTTTATCCCACTATTGCTAAAATGGCGCTAAATGGAAGAAGAAAAAAACAACATACTTTCATTGTCTTTTCTTATTATAGCATCATACTTTCATTGCTTTCTATTATATCATTGTACTTCCAATTTTTTTGTTTTTAAAAAAATCGACCCAATTGTAACACTGTAATTTCCATTTGCTATATCTATCCAATTGTAATAGTGAAAGTTCATTTGTATTTAGATGAAATTGCTATAAAATGCTAGATTTTTCAATGTACATTGTTGTAATAGGAAAAAAAATAAGATGATAAAAACAACAAAATGGAAATATGTCGCAAAAAATACATAGCAGATTTTCACATAAAATCAATAAAAAGAAATTTGCGTACCAATCTCTTCGCCAGTATTAAAATCAAAGAGACGAATCCACATGTCTTCCCCTCCAGCAATAAACTTATTACCAAACTTTGGTTCCAATGATGCTGATTCCACAGTACATGGCATATCATAGCTTTTCACCAGTCCAAAACTAAAAGCAAAAAAAAAAGATTTTAAAATTTATGAAATATGTATGTTGTACAGATTATAGAAATTGAGAGAGTTTATTTGAAACTTACTGATTTGCATCCCAGAACTTGACACTAGATCCATCTGCAGTGGTAATATAACGTCCATCTTTACTTACTTCAGCACTTGTCACACGTGATTTTGTTTATAGTGTATGGACAATTTTGCCACTTCTCACATCCCATTGCCTAAATGTTTATTACATGTGTCAAAATGGCCAGATTTGGTCAAAACATATAAAGTTTTAGGGCAAGTTGATTTGACCCACTAACACTTTTTTTATTCATTTTTTGAATTTTATTAGTAACTGCTAGGGCAAAAATAAAACATTATTTTTTGCAATCAAAACCACAGAAGTTCCCAGCAATTAATTAACCATTTTGACCTGTTATATCCAGTTTCACAGGTAACCTTCCAAATTAACCATTTTGATGAATACAAAAGCAACCATTAAAAAAAACTAATCCAATTATCTCTAATACAACAATTTAGAAGGTTGAGAACACTTGAGTATACTTGACCTTTTTCACTTTTTAGCCAAATTTCTTTAAATTTTAACTGTTTGACCTAGTAACAAACTAACAGTAAAACATAACCCAAAATAGACCTATATTCATATAAACTGATTAAAATTGACCCTAACCCTAAATAGAAACATAAGATAGTGTACAGAAACACACACACACACACAAAAAAAATGTGAATTATTGAGTTAATTTCATACCTTACACCTCCTGAATCAGAGCAAGAGCTTAATATAGTTTGGTCACTATGTAGCCATGCAACTGTCCTCACAGATCCGGGGCTAGACTTCTCAACTTCCCGTGGGGGTGCATCCGGACAATTTAAATCAAATATGCGAAGTATCTTCTCAAAACCACCCGTCAGTAGAAGATGTGTATCCTATATATTAAACAAAATTTGTTATTATTTATAAAAAAAATCACGTTTTTAGGTAAAAATATGAAATTACCTCAGAGAAGGAACATGCCCTAACAATATGTTTGTGGTCAAGCGAGTGCAATTCATCCCCTGTTAATGCATCACATATTTTCCTGCAAAAAGAAAGATCAATTATATTAAAAGCATGTTACAATTTCAATTTATTAATAACAAGTACAGAAAAAAAAAGCTTTTATATTAATATCAAAGTACCACTCCATTCTACAAATTTGAGGTAATTAATTATCTTTTATATTAATATCAAAGTTTTAAATCATATGACTTGAATGAACAATTATTTCTAAGAATGATGCAGATTACAGCTACATTAATGAGAAGATGGGCAAACTCCAAATGCTGTTAAATTGATTCCTCATCAAAGATAAGCCCATCTAGTTTAAAAGTTTTATAGTGTTAGTCAGTGGTTTCCAGATCATAGATAGTTCAAAATTGATGGAATCGAATTTGGCAAATGGAGGGGAGCAAAAAAAACCAAATGATTCAGTAAAACTTTATCTAACATCAGCATCAATAAAGCCTTTTGTTAGAATAAAAGATGGTTATGGATACAAATAGCAGGCAACTCTATAACCTTTTAGCAAGTAGTGTAAGAAGGTTAAAAAAATTGTTGCTCATAAACAAGGCCAAACTAAGTTCAGGAATTTCATGTCCATAAAACCATTGGAAAATTAGCAAAGATAATAATAAAAAAAATACAGAGCAACTGAAATTACAAGCCATCCACCTTCCAACATGCATTTGACTCCTATTTCTGGTCTATAGGCATCAACTACAAACAATTTCAAAAAGAAATCAGGTTGTATTCCAGGTAAAACCTAGAAAGCTGAACTGTTTAATCGTACACAACACTGAGTGAAAACCAAAAAAAAATATTCTTTGTGTCCTCAACAATTAGTTTAGGTTTAAAGACTTTGGAAGTTGCAAAAAAAGAGAAAAATAGAACTTCACCATACCTGTAACTCATGCCAAGTTGCTAACAACGATCTACCTTTGATGATTCGATCAATGCATTTTTCTTAATATATTAACCTACGAGAGCAATTTACAAGCAAACAAACATAAAATTATCTTCAAAAATGATAAGAATTTGCTAAAACACAGAAAACAACGAACTGGATCAATTCAAATACAATTTACGTTCACAAATCGTTTTTAGAAAACAAAAATCAATTTATGTTCACAAATTCTTCCTACTGACTTGAGAAACTTTTTAGGATCCTGTATGCGAAGCACTACAACCAGAAACATCGACAACAAGAGAGCACCTCGATCTAAAAATTGTAAGAGAGAGAGAGAGAGAGCATTCAAAAGGAATAAACAGGGGAGTTTATTAGAGAGATGAGAGATGAAAGAGAAAGAGAGAAATGGAGGGGAAGAGTAGCTGCAACTCGTAAACTTTACCTTCAATGTAATTGTCTCCGGTTGTGTTGTCGAAGTTGGCCCAGCAAAGTACGAAGTCAATCCAACTTCCTTCCACACAATCTTCTTTTCTCAATCCCAATTCCGGGAAGTTTTTGGTCATTAGAGCAAACCATCTTCTCCCCAAATCACTCCAAACCCTAACCCCTAATTCACTAATTCAACAATTTTGTATTTACGGGAAGATAGAGAGGAAGAAGATAAATACGAAAGTAAATACGCCAGAGCAGTCAACCATGTTATGTAATTGCTTCACCGTTGGGCACCATCGTGAGTTGCAGCAGGGCGTTGTCAACGTGAAGAGTCGCAGACCCCCAATCGCCGGTTCTATGAAGGATATTGTGAGGTCCACATCCCTAGTTCTTTGAAGTGGGGTTTAAGAATTATAAGAAGAGAACGTAAGAATGAGGTTTAGATGAGATCGTCGGTGAGGGAAAAGAAGTGGTGATAGAAACTAGGGTTTTTGTGGGAGACGGAGAAGCAAAATAAGAAGTGAGCCTGATTGTTTGGTCGCCGATTTTATTATATGGAGCAAGAAGAAGATAGAGGCGGGGGAGAAGAAGATAGATCTGACGAAGGTAAAAAATATGGAGCAAGGAAGAAGGAACGTGAATGGCCAGTGGCTGTGTCTAGGGTTACAGAGAGAGAGACAGAGAGAGAGATAGAGAGAGGAGGGAGAGAATGGCTCTGTGCGAGAGAGATAAGGCGACCCAGAGGAGAGAGTGAGAAGCGGGGTAATCAAAATTTTAGAATTTTAGATCCCTCTTTAAAAACAGGCGTTTAGTTAAAAAAAAATATAAAGCGACATTTGTAGACGACACACACTTAAAATAAGCGCCCTCCGTGTTTTTAATTTTGTTTTGTTTGACACTAATTTTAGGGCACGCACAAATGGGTGTCTTATATCCTTCAAATTTTGGAAAACTGACATTAATTTTTAGGGCACGCACAAATGCGCGTCCTCTATCGGTGTGTGTCATTATTTGCGCGTCGTAAAAGGTTGTTTTTCTAGTAGTGATGACTTTGTCACCCGTAGACCTGCCGGTCCTACTGTAGCTAGCAGCAAGGTGCGGGATAGTCACTCCCGTTAGATCTATACACAAAATCACGTTCTCCCTCGAGGAGACTCTGGTTCATAAGAGTAGTCCTCCACTTAGTTATGTTTGTAAGCGCCCAAGCACGTGTCTCCAACTAGATTAACGACTTTACAAGTAACCTTTTATATGTATAACCTTGTATGAATCCCCAAACTATACCTATTATAGTTTGTGTGTTTGTATATGTATAACCTTGTATGAATCCCCAAACTATACCTATTATAGTTTGTGTGTTTGTTATGTACTTGGTTTGTAAACTGTTCTGAAAACTATGAAATTGTGTTTCCAAAATAAAAGTGTTCCTTTTGCTCAGCATAGTACAAAAGGGATAAAATATCTAAATATTTTATAGAACGTGAGGATCATTGACCGTATTAATTTCATAAGTTTAAAACTTGATAAAATTATTTGTATTTGGCTTGTATTCCCCCCTGAAAACATTAAAAATCGTAAAAGCGTAGGGGTATGAACTCACTGTTGTTGTGTGAAAACGTCGACCGGAAACGAAGATCCTCGGGTTGTTGTACGTGGCACTTAACGGAATCCTAATATCAATAAATACATATATGCATCTAATTTAGCGATTTCGTTAGGTAAAGTGTTAGAAAAACACTTGAGTTTGGTTAAGGAATGTTACCGGGACTTGATTGAATCGAGGAAACGAGTTTTTCACTGCTTAAAAGACGTGTACGGCCGTGAACATGGGTGTACGGCCGGACAGGCAGTGTACGGCCGTAAACGGGGTGTACGACTGTGAACTCTTCTTTGAGGGGTGTACGGCCCTTTGCAGATTTGAAGGTGTACGGCCGTACATTCAAGAACAAGGATGTTTGATTTCGAAGAAAATGTGTTCCAGATGCTCCCAATCGATTCAAAATGACGATTTTCGATGTTTTTCCGGAAGAAAAGAGGTGTTTATAGTGTGTACGGTCAGAAGTTATAGAGAGAGAATGAGAGAGATTTCGGCCAAAAGTGTTCAAATAAGGGTGGGGGTGGGAGTATTTATAGGCTGTGGGTATGGTCGGTGATGGGGTCCACCTGACACCAACCGTAAACGGGTGTGCGGCCGTACACGGGTGTGCGGCCGTACACAGGTGTGCGGTCGTACACAGGTGTGCGGCCGTACACTCACTTAGGCCGAAAACAGTTTGTTTTTCAAGGACTTTCGGGTTTTCGCGTGATTTGGTTCCGAATCGCTTATATAAATTTAATTATATATATGAAACTAGATGATTTCCTAAACCATGAAGTTTTAACGGAAACCTAATAAAATTCAAATTTTATTAACGGAATTTGAATAACGGAAACGGAAAAAGGTTCGGGTTGTCACATCATCCCCCCCGTTAGAGGGAATTTCGTCCCGAAATTCAAACATAGAATACAAATGATGGGATCGGGAAGAGATGGGGATACTTCTGTTTCATTGAATCCTCGCGCTCCCAAGTGAATTTAGGTCCTCGCTTGGCATTCCACCGAACCTTCACTATCGGGATACGGCTTTGTTTTGTTCTCTTTACTTCCCTATCCATGATTTCTATGGGTTCCTCTACGAAGTGTAAGTTCTCGTCTAGTTCGATTTCATCGAGGGGAATCACAAGTGTCTCATCGGACAGACACTTCTTTAGGTTCGAGACGTGAAAGACAGGATGAATGTTACTAAGTTCTCGGGGTAATCGAAGTTTGTATGATACAGGACCAATCCTAGCGAGGATCTCGAATGGTCCAATGTATCTTGGATTTAGCTTTCCACGCTTTCCGAAGCGTATCATGCCTTTCCAGGGTGAGACCTTCAATAGAACACGATCACCAACCTGGAACTCCAAGGGTTTTCGTCTCTTATTGGCGTAGCTCTTTTGTCTATCTCTTGAAGCCTTTAGTTGTTCCTGGATTTGTATGATCTTTTTGGTAGTCTCTCAGATGATTTATGGGCCTGTGAGAGTGCTGTCGGGGACTTGATCCTTGACTAGCTGCGTGTCGCCCACCTCGGCCCAGCACAGAGGGGATCTGCACTTACGGCCATACAGTGCTTCAAACAGCGCATCCTTGATGCTGGTATGGTAGCTGTTGTTTTAGGAAAATACGACTAAGGGTAGATGAGTGTCCCACGACATGCCGAAGTCGATGACGTAGGCTCTCAACATATCTTCCAATGTTTGAATGGTCCTATCACTCTGCCCATCTGTCTGTGGATGGTAAGCTGTGCTAATATCCATCTTAGTTCCAAGAGCTTTCTGCAGTGACTGCCAAAATCTCGAGGTGAATCTGCTATCTCGATTGGAGATAATGGACACAGGAACACCATGCAGACGAACTATCTCTTGGATGTAGATTATTGTAAGTCTTTCCATCTTGAAAGTTTCTTTGATTGGTAGGAAGTGGGCGGATTTGGTCAATCGGTCGACACTCGGAGATTTGGGTAATTTAGGGATAAAATCCATGGTAAACCTCTCCCACTTCCACTTAGGTATCTCCGGCTGCTGAAGTAAACGTGAGGGCTTTTGATACTCGACCTTCACCTTGGCCCAAGTCAGGCACTTGCCCACAAAGGTAGCGATCTCTGCTTTCATGTTCGGCCACCAATAGAGTTGTTTGAGATCCAGATACATCTTATCTGAACCTGGGTGAACGGAGTATCTAGTCTTGTGAGCTTCGTTCATGACCACATCCCTATAACCGCCGTACCTCGGGGTCCAGATTCGGTTCATGAAATAGTAGACTCCATCACCTTTGACCTCTAAGTTCTTCTCCATTCCTCTCAAGGCTTCATCCGACATGTTCGCTGCTTTTAAGGCTTCCAGCTGAGCCTCTTTGATTCGAGCGGATAAATGGGAATGGATGGTCATTGTCAACGCCTTCACCCTACGACCTGAATACTCTTTTTGGTTGAGGGCATCAGCTACTACATTGGCCTTGCCGGGATGATAGCGTATTTCACACTCATAATCACTGAGTAGCTCTACCCATCGCCGTTGTCTCATGTTCAACTCTTTCTGATCGAAAATATGTTGTAGGCTCTTATGGTCGGTGAAGACAGTGCACTTGGTTCCGTAGAGATAATGTCTCCAAATCTTTAGCGCAAAGACCACTGCTCCCAACTCTAGATCATGAGTTGTATAATTGACTTCATGTGTTTTCAGCTGTCTTGAGGCATAGGCAATAACCTTTCCTCGTTGCATGAGCACACAACCTAGGCCCTGATTGGATGCATCACAGTAGACAATGAAGTCCTCCGTCCCTTCAGGCAGAGACAAGATAGGTGCACTGCATATGGCCTGCTTCAATGTTTGAAACGCAGTGTCTTGCTTTTCTCCCCAACTAAAAGTTACGCCTTTCTGTGTCAGGGTGGTTAAAGGCTTAGCAATCTTGGAGAAATTCTGGATAAATTTACGATAATAGCCAGCGAGACCCAAGAACTGACGAATTTCTGTGGGCGTCTTCGGTGCTGACCAATTCTCAATCACTTTGATATTGGAAGGGTCCACGTGTATTCCTTCCTTGCTAACCACGTGACCAAGGAAAGTTACTTTTTAGATCCAGAATTCGCACTTTGAAAACTTTGCATAGAGTTTCTCCGCCCTTAGTGTTTTTAACACTAGCCTCAAGTGTTGTCTATGATCTTCTTCGCTTCGGGAATAGACGAGTATATCATCGATGAACATGATTACAAACTTGTCGAGGAAAGGACGACACACCCGATTCATCAGATCCATGAATACCGCCGGTGCGTTGGTTAGACCAAAGGGCATTACCACAAATTCGTAGTGACCATAGCGAGTTCAGAATGTTGTCTTGGGAACATCATTCTCATGAACTCACAACTGATGGTACCCTGATCTTAGGTCTATTTTTGAGAAGTAACTGGCTCCATGAAGTTGATCGAAGAGGTCGTCGATTCTGGGTAAGGGATAACGGTTCTTGACGGTAAGCTTGTTTAGTTCTCGATAATCAATGCACATCCGAAAGGATCCATCTTTCTTTTTCACGAATAAGATAGGGGCTCCCCAGG